TTAATGATCAGTGATATCAAGAGAAATAAGAATATCATAATAATATACAGGAAATACAAAACAGGAACCCATTGTTTATCCTGTTCTCAGTGGACATTGCCAGAGCATTGTTTGGAAAACTTTAAACAGGGTCACTTCAATGTAGTTTACCGAGCTTTCAAAATCTAAATTGAATGATGGAGTTTGTCCTTGTTACAGAAAAAGTGATTTTGAGAAAATATTCAAGGCTAGGGATGTCTTGAGTTTGAGTATTAAATGACCTTAAAGTTTTCTACTTATGATTTCATAAAATGGTAAATGCTCTCTGTCGTAATTGAGGCAAAAGCATGTTGGATTAGGAAGCAAATAATCTTCCAGTTTTTAAATAAAACTGAAGATACACACACAATGTGGAAATTATTTTAAGCGTTCTTGTCTCATGGCTTCTGGTTACGTACCATAAATTGAGGAAATGAATATAAATTGCAATACATTCCATTTTATAACAAACAGTCACGTATAAATATTTTCTCTTTCTATCCATATCTGTGAAGAACACGATGGCTGAGAGGAAGGTTCTGGAGGCTGTCTGCCACCATCGAATCTGACTCTACTGCTTCCCATAGCATGGTTACTCGAATCTCCTTGAGCTCCAGTTCTCGCGTTAAGAAAATAAGAGCTATTGCAGTACTTGACTCATCTGATTGGTATGAAGATTGAAGGAGTTAATATACGCACAGCTCTTAAGACAATGCCTCGTACACAACAGGCATAAGTGTTGGTTGTTCCTGTTGTTATCATCATTTTCTCGATGATGCATGACAGGTAGTTGAAAGCATAGGCTTTGAGGATAAATAGTCCTTAGTTAATTTTCTGGTTGTGCCCCTTATTCACTGCTTGGTTTGGGCATGATCTCTGAGTCTCACTTCCCTCAGCTGAAAAGTGGGGATATCATTAGTTACCATAGAGCATTATTAAGGGGATTGAAGAAGATACTGCATGGAAAATCACACCTGGCATACAGTAACCATCAGTTATTTTTTAAAATCAGGTAGAAAAAAATTATTTGCAAAAGTATTAATTGATCTTTGCAAACATGTGTACTTTCACTTTGCTGATGGGGAAAATGAAATGGATAGGACACACTGAGATACTGAATTTAATTTCCTTAAATTTATTTCAGATAGCTCACGTTCAGACGTTTATGGGGTTTAAAAAATTTTTAATTTTAAATAAGCATTCATGGAATTGTCAAACAGCTGGATTAAGAAAACTCCCATCTTTGCTAATGACTTTGCTAATGACTTTCTCTATGGTTGATATTTTCCTCTTTAAAGCAACAGCATTTTATCATCATCTTATTCGGTGAGTAGAAGGTGGAAGAGGAAAAGATATTAGCATTAAAAGGAATAACCCAGAAGAAGCAAAAAAGAATTGACTTTGTAAGCCCCTGTAAGCGTCTATCATTCCCTTAGCAGGTGGGAGGAACAGAGTTATTCTATCCATCTTTGCTAAAACAGAGTTATTCTATCCATCTTTGCTAAAAACAAACATATACTAACTTATATCCATTGACTACAATTCTGATGAGTGATAATTGAAGTGTAAGTACCTCTATTATAGCAATAATTACATAGCAAGAAAAAAGAATCAAGGTTTGGAATCAGGCTTAGTTCGCCTAGTGACAAGCCCTGTCACTTTTAGCAAGTTACTCAATCTGTCTGAGCCTTGATTTTCTTATCTGTAAACTGCAGACAATATCCCCTACCTTTTGGGGAGCCTTTTGAGAGGATGAAATGAGACTGTGTGAAGACCAGTTAGTTAAGCACCTGTTGTGGAAGGATGTTTGATGTATTGTTGTTGCTGCTTGCTGTCATTTTCCTACTAGACTGTAGGCTCCTTGAGAACAGGCTTCCCTTTTAAAACACAAGTATCATCTGTTCCCAGCACAGTGTCCGGTCCCTAGAATGTACTGAGTGACTATCTAATGAAACCAGGCAGGGATACCCTGCATGAGAAACTGAAACAACCACAATAATACATAGAAGGCTTGACCTGTTTAAGTGAAAGAGCTGAGAGAGCCAGGCATTGACCAATCGAACTTCTGTTCTGGGGAAGAGATTTAAGTAAAAAGTAAATAAAAGACAACCTTTTCCTCAAACATATGGAAGGGAAAGATAAGCTCTAAGGAACAGAGAAGTGTTGTCACAGTGATCATTACCTGAGGGGATTGTAAATAGCATCTTTAAATAAGGCTATTTATATATATCACCTATATTTTCTTCCTTTGTAGAAAGATGGTAATGACCTTAGTCCATGATTTCTGTGAGTTGCTGTCTGATTTCTCCTTTGAGTCATAGGAGTTTTTATGTATAACTCAGATCTTCTGATTTCTCTTTGATTCCCCCTGCCCTCTCCCACATTTTCTCTTCCCTACACTGAGTGTCTCCACCGTGGGGACTCAGAAGCTTGATGCCTACATCCAGTCACACTGATCCTGGAGAGGTGGGCTCTATGTATTGGCCTTATCCTAGGTCTCTGCTACAACACACACATCCTCGGAAACGGTATAGTCAGCAGATTTGGGGCACCAGTTTTGGCTTCCCATATTTCTTATCTTTCATTTAACCTTGAATCATAACTGGAAAGAACACTATAAAACCTACCTAATCATCCCCTTTATATTTTGAAAATTGGGATTCAGAGGATCACTTTATAGAAAATCACTAGGATCAGGGTCTGAGACACTCTATCCCAGTGGGGCTGAAAGGGCATAAAACAGCATCAGCAGCAGATTCTAGATCTAAGTTGGGATGAGAATTCCCACCGAGTCCTGTCAGTCTGTACCACGAGCGCCAGGCCTACTCCATCACCGACTGCTACTTTCTTTTGCCTGGGAGCAGCTTTGATAGAAACTTGTGTTCAACCCCCGATGAACTAAATTAGAGGTGAATGCTACCCACGATAGTAGACTCATTAAAGTATCAGGTGATGGCTTCAACTGCAACCAAAAGAGGTTTTTAGAGATAAAAAGAAATAGACATCAACAGTAGAGAAGATGAGGTTTGCAATAATTCTAGTAAGAAGGGATTCAGTGGTGGAAAGAAATTAATAGACTATATCCTAAAGAGAAAAGAAGTAAAATTTGGAGCTTCCAAGTTCAGTATTAGGTATATCTTAATTGAGGTGTAGTCAGACACGCAAGTAGAATAAAGTGATCTTGGAATCAATAAATTATCAAAGGAGAATAATACCATTTAAGATAATTAGAAAAATGACTCAAAAGTGAGATAATTCTCAGTAAGAAATTATTTTTATTAATGCAGGGCTTGCTTAGTAAAACTCTTCTAAAAAATGGGACTCTGAGTTCATTTTATAGCATTACATTAGGGTACACGTATTTGCCCAGTTTTGCAATTATACTCTGTAATGAATCCTACCTGCAAAGACAGATAAAGAGGGCTAAATTCAGGTTGCCTTTAGATTTGCATATATAACGTTGGGTAAGAGAAGAAGGAATTGGAAAGGCCTTAACAAACAGTGCCCATCACCTGTGGCCAAACCAAACCTGAGCTATAAATTGCAGTGGCTCTACCATTCTGTAACATGAACTCTGTTTTCTTGTTCCTGATTAAGATCTATCCACTTGGCCTCTTTTCAAAAGACTTGCGCTTGACACGTATACACTGATGTGTATAAAATGGATGACTAATAAGAACCTGCTGTATAAAAAAATAAATAAAATTCAAAAAATAAAAATAAAAGACTTGCGCACATTTGAACACACCTTTGAGACTCCAGACTGGACTTCTGCACCATGTTCTATTTGGGTAACCACAAAGGTGCTGGAAATTTCAAGTAGTAACAAATGCCACAGCCTACAAACTGAAGAACACTTGCTGGTGAATACCTGATTCCCGAGTGTCAGAGCACCCCCTGGCTGTGGGCTCCAATTATTCTTTGGGGTTAGGGTTGACGAACGGATTTAGACCAGGTTAAGTCATCTTTGTTGTGATGATTTTATTCTTCCAGTTAACGTAATATTGCTCTTTTTTTCCCCCGTGAATCCTCAAAATTCAGTTTAAGGTCTTTTTAAAAAAATTTTTTTATTGGAGTATAGTTGATGTAAATGTTGTGTTAGTTTCAGGTATATAGCAAAGTGAATCAGTTATACATATACATATATCCACTCTTTTTTTTTAGATTCTTTTCCCATATAGGCCATTACAGAGTATTGAGTAGAGTCCCCTGTGCTATACAGCAGGTTCTTATTAGTTATCTATTTTATACATAGTAGTGTGTATATGTCAGTCCCAATCTCCCAATTTACCCCTCCCCCCCTTATCCTCTGGTAACCATAAGTTTGTTTTCTACATCTGTGACATGCACCCCAATGTTCATTGCAGCACTATTTACAATAGTTAAGGTTCATTTTTAAAGCTCACTTTTGTGCTGCCCTGAGATGATTATTAGGTACTTTCACTGTTCGTAGGAAATGGTACTGCCCACCTTCTACTAACCATCTCCATGGAGAACTCATTCTCATTCATAGTAGCTCATCTTGTCTGGATTTTAATTGAATACAGAGTTATCAGAGCCTTCATGTTTCATACAGAAATTATTCAAAATACAGTCATAATAATTTGACTGTTTGTCAAAATATAATTTATCAAGTCAGTGATAAATTACATTTATAATTATAATTTATATATTATATAGTTATATAAATAGATCTATTTATAGAAGGATAAATTTGTGTGGTGCCTTCAGAATATATTAGTTTCTTACAACAGAATCATTCAAGACAGACATAACATTGAAATCGTCTTGATTTTTAATGCAATATTTCATAAATCTCCTTTCTAAATACTAAAGAATCTTGAAAACATACAAGGTGAGGAATGTTTATGTAACTTTGCTGCTATTCTTGCTTCTCAACCATCCTCTCACTGTCTTAGTATATTTAGAAGTTTTGAGTTTCAAGTTTCTTCATATACATATAAATTCATATAAATTCTTACACTGTTTCCAAATCAAAGTGAGCAGTGCCTCAAGGGCTGTGTTTGCCATTTCTGTTTCCACGATAAGCAATATCCGTACAGTGATTAAAAGGTTTATGAATGGTCCTTGCTAATTTCTAGGCTGATGAAACGTGGCTCTAGTTTCACACACTTCAGGAGGCAGGAGGTTCGAGGTCTTATTTCCTACTACTTATCTCCAGTCGCTGCTTCAGTGGTTTTGTTAACTTTGTTCTGAGAGGAACTAGCATTGGGCTAAGATATAAAACACAAGAACAATGAAGTGAGTAAATCAGTCTATTAACACGTACTGATTAGTGCCCACACTCGTACACAAAGACACATTTATACTAAAACATTCCTGATTCTCGCTTACATGATAATCACTGGCTCTACAAGTAAAATAAATGTATCTTTGTCATTTCATCTGTTGGATATGTACTAATGGCTTCCCCAAAATGGATAAGGACTAAAAACGTCGGGAATTATAACAAGATACCTGAGTAGCTGCATAGCTCTAAAATTGGAATGATCTCCACCTCAAAAGAGCCAAGATATCTATGGACTCATATTTCACTCCATTTATCTGCATAGCTAGTCACACTGACAGGTGGCTCTTCATGTAAAAGAAACTTCAACATTTTTTAAAATTGAAGTATAGTTGATTACAGTATTGTGTTAGTTTCAGGTATACAGCAAAGTGATTCAGTTTTTTATATATATATATATATATATATATATACAGATTCTTTTCTATCATAGGTTATTACAAGATATTGAATATAGTTCCTGTGCTATCCAGGAAATCCTTGTTGTCTATTTTATATATGGTAGTGTGTATCTGTTGATCCCACCCTCCTGATTTATCCCTCCCTCCTCTCTTTCCCCTTTGGTAACCATAAGTTTTTTTTCTATGTCTGTGAGTCTGTTTCTGTTTTGTAAATAAATTCATTTGTATTATTTTTTAGATTCCACATATAAGTGATATCATATGATATTTGTCTTTCTCTTACTTCACTCAGGATGATAATCTCTAGGTCCATCCATGTTGCGGCAAATGGCAATATTTCACTCTTTTTTTATGGCTGAGTAGTAATCCACTGTGTATATATGTACTACATCTTCTTTATCCGTTCATCTGTTGATGGACACTCAGGTTGCTTCTATGTCTTGGCTATTGTAATTAGTGCTGCTGTGAACATCAGGGTACATGTATCTTTTACAATGAGACATTTTGTCTTTTCCGGATATATGTCCAGGAGTGGGATTGCTGGATCATATGGTAGCTCTATTTTTAGTTTTTTAAGGAACCTCTATACTGAGAAACTTTAACATTTTAAGGTCAAGAATGTTAACTTCCTTATTCTTACAATAGTCCCTTGGGTGGGTAGAAAGCATTTCTCATTTCACAGATAAATACTCTAAAATGCTCTTATCACTTAACAACTGACTTTATTAATTTAGGGCAGAACTCAAGATTCCCTGATCACATTTTCCTGAAATGAACGACTTTCGTAACTCAGCATTGATTCTGTTTCATTGAAATTGCTTTCCTCTTTCACATCACACAAATGGAAAGAAGAGCTGATTTTGGTGCCTGGTTATAAATATTCCATAATGTCTATCCTCTGAAAAAGTTTGAACATTGAGTTGAAAACCACGAGTGTGGGGAAAAGCAATAAACAGTGTCAATGTGATTTAAAGGCATAGGAATATGCTGCTTTTAATGATGTTTATTAAAATGGCATTTTTCATAAACAACTTTAAAGATTTTTCTAAGTACTAATTCTGAAGAGTATGCTTATTTTCATTGCAACTTAAAAAATGATATCTATTTAAATTAGAATGAATATAGTTTGCTAATGCCCCGTTTAATTATCATACAATGGTATGTATAAATTCACCACCTATATTAGAAAAAATTGGGAAATATATTTATGAATACAGTAAGTATTTAAGAAAAAACTTTTCCACATTTCATATCATCATATGTTTTGTTTGTACAGGCTCATACATTCATGAATTGAGCCATTCAGCCTCATATACAAAGTATAAATAGACCTCAAGCCTATAAGCTCCACAAGGGCAAGACCTTCTGTTTTCTTCATAGAGTACAGTGCCTAATTCATAGAAAAAGCTTACTTAATGCCAATGAAAAATGAATGATGGAATAATGGGAGAACCAAGTCAGGCAAGGCAGGTCATGTAATGTATATTGAACGATAAATGTTTTGGATATGATCTTTTGAATTGTTTTTTCCCCCCTTATTTTTCTTATTTTAAACGCTCTGGATAATCTATTTCACCTAGTGTGTTAGGACTTACCTGTGAAATGTAATTTGTCATACAGATTAGGACTCTTACAGGCTATCTATCATACTAGGTACTATCTTAAAAATGTGAAGAAGACAAGACTGTTTTTCCCCCAAAGTACACGCTCTCAAAGTGGCCACCTTCTTCTTTAGATCACAGTGCCATGGTTAACAAAGGGAAATTATTCCACGTGTACGTAGCCACATGTATGTGACAAAGGGAATTGTTCTTAATTCTTTTTGAACTCCAGTTGCACTGTATTTGGTTCCAAAGTAGAGCTAATCATTCTTAATCCAGAGGTAAAACCATCGCTGCCAGTAAACAGGCCCAGTGACACTGAGCACAGAAAATCAAGATGGCAGTGTTCAATTTTCCAGTGGGACATATTCCAAATAACCTCCCAAATTAAAGTCGAGGCGAATTATGACAATAAAAGGGAATTGATAAAATACTTATATCCAGAGATTCGTTTTGATTTGCTTTTCATTCCTATTGCTTAGCATCGTAGCATCAGAGTTAGATGTGTAAACATCTAACTCTGATGTTTAGAACTCCAGAATTGGTGCCCCACGAATCTCCTTTGGTCCTCGCCTATATGCATCTCCTTATTTTGAAAGTTTCAAAACTTGAAGTTGATTTAGAAAATATGGACAAGCATAAGAAGAAAAGAAAAATTATCTGCAATCTCACCACAAAGAAATAATCATTATTGGCCTCATAGATTTCTTTTTCCTCCATACCTCTATTGTTGCGTTGTTTCTGGTCTTTGGGAATAAAGACACTTGGTGTAGTCTTGTAAATAAATGTTTCCATAGCGTCCACAAAGAAAACTATAGAGAAGGATAACAGGCGAGTTATAACGTTTAGGGGGGTGGTGTTGCTAATCAGTAGTTCCCACAAAGAAGCAGAAAAATGTTAGAGCACAGGGCTTGGAATCTGGCCGGCCCAAGTTTGATTTACCTTCCCCACAAGTGTGACCCAGTACAAGATGTTTAACTTCTCAGAGCCAGTTTCCTCTTCCGTAAAATGAGAATAATACCCTCATCAGAGTGTTTTTGTGTACAGTCAATGTGAGGTATTTAAGGAATTTGGCAAGCTGCCTGACACAGTATGCATTCAGGGAATGGTAGCTAATATTATTATTTATAAGAATACTTAGTTATTTTACATTCCTAACTAACCTTGCAGATCACGAAGCTCAACACCACATGACATGAAGATTAATTTTAGATCAGCTCAAGAAAAACAAAATTAAGCAGGTAAATTTATTGGCAAACGACCGTATAATACATTCTTAAGCAAGTACTTTAGGATTGTAGGATTAATTAAAATTCTTCTCTGTTAGCTTAGTTAATGGCAGGATGGCTCTTCCTTGGAATTAGGATCTTTAGAAATGGTGATCTCCCTCGTTCTATCCTAGTATTGTGTTCGCAGTTAATACTCTGCATAGTTTGCCTTAGTGTGATATAATTCAGGCAAGACCAGAAGATACAGTAGTGTGTTGTTAGACTCTTCTAGAAGTTTCTTTGAGTTTTAAATTAAATTTCAGGTTTAAGAAATATGTGATCATTGCAAGTCTGGTGGGTTTTATATTTAGAAGTTTTAAACTATCTATTGTGGAAAGTCATTGTTATATTATGTAGTTTTTGCTCTGGGCCCAGTCGAACTTTATTATGTCAAGATCTCTGTTAGATCCCCATTACTCTTTCATCCCAGGAGAATTTTATTGACAGCATAGTTGTCATTTATTGAGAGCCAGTTATGTGCTAGGCACTGCTGTGGGTACTTTGCATGAATTATTTCATGTACTAGAACTAATGGGTCTGTGATCTAGGCATAAGAGCCTCATTTTTCTGGTTCCAGACCTGTGGTTGAAAGATGTTAAGTCACATGCCAGCACTTACATCCTCGTAAAGGGCAGGCCCACGACTGGACCTTACCCTACAGCTCCCCGCAGGCTTCTCCCTGCCTGCTCCCTCCTTTCCTGAAAAATCCGAGGGACTTTCATGCAGAATTGGAGAAAACTTGTCTTTGACAAGGCTCATACAAAAGGAAAAGCAGTTATGGGCTATCAAAACATAAAAAGTACTTAATTCATACTGTTATTTACTGACCTTTAAAAATTATCAACCAAGAATAAGTAACATAAATTGTTTACTGAGTACAATAAATGGCACTTCAAACTATAATTTGGATTTTTATAATAACCACATAAAGAAACAACACTGACAAGGGAAGGAGAATGGAGAGACACATGGAGGAGAAGGAAGGACAAGGCTGGACTGGAGTAAGGGGGACCGCGGGGGAGGTGCACTCACATTCACGAGTGTCTGGGGTCGTCTTGGAGCCTGGTGCTATTCAATGAGGCAGATCTCTACTTTCATATGTAACATACTACAGGGAAAGTCTGAAATTGATCATTATATTGACATTTTTAAGGTCGGGGGAGTTCCATTCACAGAAGGCCATAGATACAAAAATCCAAACGTGTCTTCAAGCATTAGCCTGCACCTAGAACTGCAGACACATCAGCCTACTCCAAACTCTCTAGCTATTCGGCTTATCAGAGGGAATTCCAGATTATGCCTCCTTGACCCCGTGCCCCTTCCCCCATCCTCTGAGGAGGCTCGATCTTCTGCTTGCATGTCGGAATGCGCTCTTACCATGGGAAGGGGTGGGGAAAGAGGGTTTTCTAGAAGGTAGAGGAAAATGAGGAGCTGCCAGATCCCTCCCACATTGGGGACTTCACAGGCCCTCTCGACATGATGCAGGGATCCGGGTGATGGTATTCTGATGACCGAGGTCCTGCCCGTGTGGGGTATAGGAAGGGTATGGCAGGACTCATGCCTCCCAAGGGCCCCAGCCTGGGGAGAAGCTGCGTTTCCTCCAGCCAGGAAGAGATAGTAGATACCAGTAGAGATACCCCACAGTAGCTCAGACTCATTAATCATCTTATTAAGTCCATTGCGGTTGATGCACAAAAGGCAAGAGTGTTCACATATGATGAATAAAAATGCAAGTTGTGTACAGGGTTGGCTTTATGGGCCTGTGACCTGAGCATTTACATCTGACCCTGTGCTTAGAAAGGCCAGGTGCTGGGTTTAATACTCTGTGTTCATCCTCTTGAAATTATCAGTGATTTTTGAATAAGGGGTCTAGCATTTTCACCTTGCACTGGGCTCTGCATGTTGTACGGCATTCCCTTTTGTATGAAATTTCAACACAGATAATCAAAGTCTCCTGAAATTTCCGAGACTCCAGTCTCATATCTCACATCCTTAAGAGATAAAAGATCCAGGGCAGGGGGAGTGTTCTTCCTGTAGTTTACACCATCCTCCTCTGTGAACTCCTTGCATTTAGTCTCACCCCCCTTCTCAGTTGTACTTTATACCAGAGTAGAGGTTTTAAAATGGAAATCTTATTATTTCACTTTCCTGCCTGAACTCTTTCAGTGCCTTCTCATCGACCTGAGTGTGAAACAATGATGCCGCAATCTTGCTCTGGCCTGCTTGTCCGTTTTACTTTCTCTCTCTCCATATCAAGCACCCTGCATTCCAACCACACCCAACGACTTGACTTTCAGTCCTTAGAACATGTCCTTCTTGCTTCTGTGCTTTAGCACATGCTGTTCCTCAATCACGGGGGTTCAGCACGTTCCAAAGCAAGAACCCACATATTCTTTTTTTTTTTTTTTTTTTTTTGCTGTACACGGGCCTCTCACTGTTGTGGCCTCTCCCGTTGCGGAGCGCAGGCTCAGCGGCCACGGCTCACGGGCCCAGCCGCTCCGCGGCAGGTGAGATCCTCCCGGACTGGGACACGAACCCGTGTCCCCTGCATCGACAGGCAGACTCCCAACCGCTGCGCCACCAGGGAAGCCCCCACATATTCTTTATACCCCAAACTCTTCCTCAGTGATGCCTCGGGAGCTCCTGCACAAGCAAAGTAGATCCTGTGCGTGTCCTCCATCTCTATGAATGCAATACCGCACTGAATTAGAATCACCTATTTTTAAGACTGTTGAGCAGTCACTGTTTGAGATGCATTCCAAACACTTAGAAGAGTTGATTGTTATATAGTAATCTTGACTATAAAACCCTCACTTTTCTCCCTGACCCATCACTTTCATTCATGCCTGTTTTTCTCTTGCCTCAGATGTTGAAACTCTCTATAACCACTTCTTGCTCTTTTCATTTAATTTGATAGACTCTTACCAGGTGTATCTTTTTTACACACAAACATAAGCATTACTTTTTCCCATTTAAACTCCAAGGGTAAGCTGGGACGAAGTGAGAGAGTGGCATGGACTTATATACACTACCAAATGTAAAATAGATAGCTAGTGGGAAGCAGCCGCCTAGCACAGGGAGATCAGCTCGGTGCTTTGTGACCACCTAGAGGGGTGGGATAGGGAGGGGGGGAGGGAGGGAGATGCAAGAGGAAGGGGGTATGGAGATATATGTATATGTATAGCTGATTCACTTTGTTATACAGTAGAAACTAACACACCATTGTAAAGCAATTACACTCCAGTAAAATGTTAAGAAAAAAAAAAAGGAACTCCAATGGTTCTCTTTTTTATCTAAAGATTTAATCCAAACTTTATCATAAGGCTGATCCTGAGGCTGGTGGTGTGGCTACCATTCCTCCGGTGTTTTTGATGTGTTAGGTCATTTACAATAATCCCACTTAATCCCAATGTTAATCCTCAGAGGTGAGCGCTATTATCTCTGCTCTGAAGGTAGTAAAATAGGGATCTAGAGAGACTGGGGGTCCTGTCCCCACATACTCAGCAGTCACAGGGCTGGAAAAGAAATCCAAGTCGGTGTGACTGCAAAGCCCATGTGCTTGCCCCACCCCACGCTAGGCTCGGTTCTCCCTATGGTTCCCTCATTCCAGACCCACTAACCCACCTCCAGCGTTCTCTCATGCCCATTCTTTTGTACATGGTGTTCTCTCCATGCAGAACCTTGCACACTTCTGAGATCATCCAGGGAGATCATTCACACCCTATTCTGAGTGCTTGCTCACCACTGTACGGGTTTTTGTGATGCTATTTGGTCATCATTAGCTTCCCCTCCCTCAACTCTGAAGACTGTGAACAGCTCTCAAGAGCTAAGACTCTGGCTAGTCACCACTGAACTTGCACAGCCTGGAGAATCACAGCACATGCCTCTCTACTTAACTCATTTATATAAAAATGATTGCACGGCTTCCCTGGTGGCGCAGTGGTTGAGAGTCCGCCTGCCGATGCAGGGGACGCAGGTTCAAGCCCTGGTCCGGGAAGATCCCACAGCCCACGGAGTGGCTGGGCCCGTGAGCCATGGCCCCTGAGCCTGCGCGCCCGGGGCCTGTGCTCCGCAACGGGAGAGGCCACAACAGTAAGAGGCCCACATACCGCAAAAAAAAAAAAAAAAAAAAAAAAAAAAAGATTGCAGACTTCCCTGGTGGTGCAGTGGTTAAGAATCTGCCTGCCAATGCAGGGGACATGGGTTCGAGCCCTGGTCCAGGAAGATCCCACACGCCATGGAGCAACTAAGCCCGTGCACCGCAACTACTGAGCCTGTGCTCTAGAGCCCGCGAGCCACAACTACTGAGCCTGCGTGTGACAACTACTGAAGCCTGCGCACCTAGAGCCCGTGCTTCACAACAAGAGAAGCCACCACAATGAGAAGCCCACGCACCACAACGAAGTAGAGAAAACCTGTGCGCAGCAGCAAAGACCCAACTCAGCCAAAAATAAATAAATTTATTTTAAAAATGATTGCTAATAATACTTTCTAACACTTCTTGAGCATTTTCTACATGCTGGGCCCCCTTCTACACACTTAAC